GTTTATCAGCCTCTACCGCTGCATCCATGCGAACCTTTAACATATCAGAAAGTTTGGCTGGTGCCATGTTGGAACTACTAGTTCCTTCAGTTGCCATGGCTTCTCTTGGCCTTCTCTCTTATCCGCGCGTCTCAACGGGCATGTAGTGAATTTGAGCAAAAGAAACAAATTGAAAGTACAGAGAAGAAGATAGAACTCCTAGCCGGAGCGGCAAATATTTGGACTAAAGAGCAAAAAAAAAAAACGAATCAAAGAATTAATACCTTCAGAAGAGAGTTTTGATTCCGTGTTCGAGTCCGGTCAGACCAAGTACAAGATCCCCTTGAGCCTAATCCAACTGGCACCGTCAAAGTACATCAAACCAGACTACAAGTAACATCATACAACAATAGAGAATTGAGTGGTGTATAAAGTGCAGGTCAAGCATTGGATTATGTGTCATCAGTCTGACAAAGCATCTCAGCCGAGATCCCCTCGACAACGAGGGCTCTAACCAAAAAGAAGAATACTGTATCCCAGACATAACAGAGAGCAACACCGCATCAACAGATTTGGGTCCAAGGGGCCCTTCTTGTATGGGCCCCGTCCCACTTGGTCCCAATGGGTCCCAAGTAGGTCGCGACCAAGTCCCAACCAAGGAGAGTACCTCAAGGTCCTACTTTCTGCCTCTACCGTACTAAAAAATGAATTTCAACTTCAAGAGAGAACCTACAAACTACATCCATACACAGATGAAAAGACAAAGCACTGTAGAAAGATATGGCTTTTCAAGCAAGATACTTCATTTCTACATCCATCAGGTTAGCAAGTAGTTTGCACACCAACGCACACAACCAAGACTTCAGAGGAGTAGGAAAGAGACCCAGAAGCACCCCAACAGGACAAACAATACCATGCACACATACATGGGCAACTCTTAGGTGCACGACACTTACCTGAGTGGCCCGGACTCTTAGATGAAGTATAACTCACCCCCCTTCCTCATGTGGTCTTCCTAACCCTATTCGCTACCTCTACACTAGTGTCCTATCATGTACGAGGGTCTCACTTTCAACACCAATGTGCAACGCTAGATCCCACGCCGATGCTGAAGAACAAAGTAGTAACTTGCAGTCCATAGATGCAGAATGGTTACCTCCCTCAAGATCGCCTACCTGAGGGAGGCCCTTAGGTCACAGAGTGTCTCCCTTAGGTCAGATTCCAGGTGCTAGTGCCTCTCACTGTCGCCTCTCTCAACTTGTCGCATGAAGTCCTCTTGATGTGTCTCGCCACCACATACTTACTCTCAAACAACCTGGTCAGGTTCAATGCCGACCCAGCATGACCTAACCAGGTGGGGGCAGCTTCCCTAAGCCACGCTGCCCTTCCCAGTTCGGACCAACCCTAACCCTAAGTGGTTATCCCTTACCACTTACGTTAGGGTTAGGGTGGATAAGTCGACTCTCACCAACAAGTAAAATCCGCTCTCATACCAATGTTATGATCCTGGCCAATTTCGAAGTATACATGCATCAGATAGTACAATGTCGTCCAATTGCAGAAAGAAATGAATGAACTTGAGAGAAGAGAGAGGGTAAGAAGAAGAAGAAGAAGAAAGAAAGAAGAAGAAGATGATGTACACCAGCATAGACAAATGATAAAGCTCTTCGTCTTCGCCAAACACTCTCCTCCTCCTTTACTCCTCCTCTCTTATTCACACAAGAAATAATAGTACAATGTTGAATGGCTGAACCAGAATCAATGTCTGAATCCCCCTTCTACTGCGGGTATCACTTGAGGTCCACCATAGCCATGGTCGCCTTCCTCACTCTTCACTCTCATGGGCCGAGGCTATGGCGGACTACTGGGCCTTGCCCTGATGCCCAAGGGACAACCCAAAGCAGCTATGGCTGCTCTAGCTCAGGCCGCCATGCCTGACTCTGCCTCGAAGCTTCTTGGTGTAGTTCTACCCCAGCTGGGATCTTGCTGCTGCAGCGCCAACCAAGGTGATGAAGATGGCTGCCACCATAGCCAGGTAAGTACCTCTGGCACTCCCTCTTCCTCCTGGTCTTCTTCCTCCTCCGTGTCCTTGCTCCTTCCCCAGCAGCGCTGTTCTTGCTAGCACTGATCCAGCCAGCACTCCAACCAGTGTGTCACCAGACTTGCACACCGACAATGAGACTGGGCTCTTTGCCCGACCTGGAGATATAGCGGCCTGCTTGCCTCTTGGGCGGTGACTTCCAGGCCGCTCGGCCTTCCAAGCAACCAGTACCTCCTCCCTTTCGGAGGGAAACATCATTGCAGACTCTAATATTGCCCGTAGACGCCCTAGACTCAGACTGGTTGGACTGGTACCCGCGTAGACCTAGCCTACAACTACTGGGCCTCTCGAAATGCCACTTTTGTCTTCTTCTGCTCGGCCTCTAGCACCCGCACATCTACCTCTTCAGGGTGTGGTACCGGACTACGTGCTACTTGAGTGTTGCCCCCCGCTGCAATCCTCAATGTCACGGCCAAAGGTACATACTGGCCCTAAGGGCCCAACGAACGAACAAGTGCCCTTGCGGGTCACACACACACTCAAGCCAACCAGCACTCAGACAAACATGCAGACCAGCAAGGGTGCACACACACACAGACATGCAGAACTTAGTAACTAGCAGGAAACTCAGCAAGGCATTCAATCCATGAGCAAAACTCAGAAATCAACTGTGTCTCTGTCCGTGTTTGGTCGGGTCATCACACATATATATATTGTCACATAACTATGAACTAAATGAGCACACTTTGCGAAACAAACGGTAAAGATTGAGAACCAAGACAAAGATGAGGGGCACACCGAAACCACATAGATCTGCCTACGGTTTTACCGGGCAGTTCTGTTTGTGACGCAGTTCTGTTTGTGACGATTTGTTGTCCTCTTCTCTCTCTCTGCCTACGGTTTTACCGGGCAGTTCTGTTTGTGACGATATATATATATATATACGACAGTCTGTAGAGTTTTCCATCTGGTGTGGGTGAGTGATAGTCTACTTTGATTTTCGTTAAGGTGGATGATCACTTACAGTGTAATCAGTGAGGGGATTCTACAGACTGTTGAGGGTTCAGCCTCCTGATGAGTCGGTGAAACTCCGACGAAACAGTTTGTCACAGCCCCTCGTTTGTTGTCCTCTTCTCCCTCTCTGCCTACGGTTTACCGGGCAGTTCTATTTGACGATATATATATATATATATATCGTCACAAACAGAACTGCCCGGTAATATATATATATATATATATCGTCACAAACAGAACTGCCCGGTAAAACCGTAGGCAGAGAGAGAGAAGAGGACAACAAACGAGGGGCTGTGACAAACTGTTTCGTCGGAGTTTCTCCAACTCATCAGGAGGCTGATATATATGTGTGTGTGTGTGTGTGTGTGTGTGTGTGTGTGTGTGTGTGTGTGTGTGTGTGTGTGTGTGTGTGTGTGTGTGTGTGTGTTTGTGTTGAAGATCATTCCTTTGGCCCCATGCTGCAGCAAGACAATGTACCAACACTCTGCGAGCTTCTCCTTTGCACAGCCACAAACACGGTTACACTCGGCAAGAGCCGCCATAATCTCTGTCACAATCACTACAATGACATGGTTTCTGCATCCATGTGTGCAGAGGACTGTCCCAACATTACTGACTGCAGGCACCCTCTGCATCCGGACACTATATGTCCATTTTGCTTCCATGGGCGCTATACTGAATGCATGGTCTTTTGTGGTGACCGGTCTTCCTTCATTTTGGCCTGCAATCGACGTGCCATTTGTCGGGGGTGTATGGTCGGCATGCTCAATGCCAGCCGTCGTGGACATAGTTGCACTGAGAATGCTCAGCTAGGTCTTCCATATGTTCATCCACCTCATCCTTACAATGTATGTCCTCTCTGTCGTCAAGAACAGACTCGTTCTTAATCCTTTTCTAATCCTCTTTTGCCTTCATCTTCACTCCACACTCCATACTTTCCCTTACTTTCCCTTTATCGTTCTTTGTTTGTCTGCTCTCCATCTTTCCTCCCTATGTTTATCCCCTCCCCCTTCACTCTGCCTCTTTCTCACAGCGTACAAGTGGGTTGTTATGGCACACGGGGATGGGGGCAGCTCACGCTCAACTTCATCAACGGGGCGAGCCTTGTACGTGAGAGGCACTGTGAAGGGGGAGTTAAAAGAAGAATGAGAAAAATGAATGGTTTCAGTGTGCCATTCATGTTTGTCTTGTTTTTTTTTATTTTTTTTATTTTAGCCGTTTGTTTCACAAATTGCGCTATTTTAGTTCATAGTTATGTATGGTCATTGAATATATAGTATATACATATTACACATATGTATATATTTCTAACACAAATACTAATAACACTTTCTTGCAGTTGGAGGTTGCATGGAGTCACTTCACATTATTAGGAAAATTAAGAAGGATACAAATGTTGGAAAAATAAAAATAACAAGGAGAATTTGGATAATTGTGTGCCATCGACTCATGAATTTTTCTCGGCAAGTACTTCTTACAGCCAGTTAATATTCTCTTGTTATTAATTATTAATTAGTAGTAAATGCAAACAAAGTTTTTGAGGATCCTACTAACAAATTAAAATAATGTGTTTTCATTTCCTGTGGATTGCCCTCATGCACAGGAGCCTACCATTCCTTTCATTATTCATTCATTTATTTGTTAGCATTTCCTGCTTTCACATTCTCCTAGTCTTTTCCTGGCGCATGTAATGTAACGAGTTCCTCTTCTTCTCTTTCAATGACAACTTCTATGGCGGTGTTGTTCAGAGAACTTTATATGCTGTGTTTAAACTTTAACATGGTTTGAGCTTTGAACTCATGGAGGTTTGCTGATGGAGGTTTGCTGATTGTCAGTTACAGGTGCGCCGTACCATTGGCCAACCACTTAGGAATGTATGGATGTGTTGTTTATATGGAACTTTGTTAGGTGACAATTTCCATTAACAAACCTGACATTTTCATTTTCTATTCTCAATATGTTCCAGAAAGGTTCTAGTGATGGAGTTCATCGATGGAATTCAGATCATGCGGCTTAGAGAAGAGATGGAAAAACGTGGAATTGCATTTGAAGGCCTGGCTGGCAGACAGGCAAAGAGGTGCTTCTCACTCAACTCCCCTTTGACAAACCATGCATCAAAATTATGCCTGTGTTTTTTTATTCTCTCCATGTTTACCCAAAATTTCCACGTTTCCGTTGTTGACGCATATCCCAAGTTTCCACCTTGGCTGAGCTCTCCTCTTAAGAGACTAGCACTAGTGGCTGGTTGAAATGCATAGGGGTGTATCACCATCTTGCTCCATGTTAGACTTCGGATGTGTTGGATTGTGTTTTTTTTTTTAGTCAAAGTATTGTCTTGCTTGGCAACTTAATTGTATTTGTGGCATGTGTGGTGTGATGGCGGCGAAAGTGCAATGATTATTCCAGTCTCTCTGTTTTGAAATGTGTGAAAGAAATTTCCACCTTTCCTTTGTTCATGCCTATCCCAAGTTTCCAACTTTCCATCTTTCCTATGTAGAATCCTACCCAAAATATCCATTTTTTTTTTGTTAACTCCTACCTAGAAGTCCCATCTTCTGCGAGCCGCTCCCCCAAATTTATTCTAATCTTGCATCTATAAACCCCTACTCAAAACTTCAGCCTTGCCACGGTCGACCTCCAGCAGGGCTCCCTGAAATTTCCTACTCAAAGCTCACCCGAAATTTCCGCCTTTCCTTCCTCAATATCTCCCTCAAATATCCAACTTTTTCATATAAATCCCTCTTCCAAATTCACACCTTTCTTCTCTCAATCCCTGCTACTCTGAATATCTATCTTTCTCCTATCCGCTCTTACCCCAAGGTTTCATCTTTCTTTTGTTCCCCCTTGCTCTGAACCTTCATCCACTTTTGTTTTATCATCTCTCACCACAAGTTCCCACCTTTCTACTGTTAACCTTGCTCTGAACCTTTATCCAGTGTTCTTCTATTGTCCCTAACCCAAACTTCCACCTTTCTTTTATGAACCTGTACCTTTGTTTTGCCAATCCTTACCCCAAATTTCTTTCTTTCTTAATGTCTCCCTCAAATGGCTCCCATTTTCCTCTATATCCCTGCGTCAAATTTGCACCTTTCCTCTCTCAATCCAAACAACCCTGAATATCCATCTTTCTCAAATCAACCCCTACCCCAAGGTGTCATCTTTCTTCTGTGAACCCTTACCTTACACCTCCCTCCACCTTTCTTCTATCAACGCCGGCCTGGACGGCCCCAATTTTTTTTCGCCTTTTTATGGTTAACCCCTCCCCCCTTGAAAATCCGCCTTTCCTTTATTAATACCTGCCTAAAATTTCCACCTTTCTTCTGTGATTCCATAGCTGCAATATTTACTCGTTTTTCTATTAACCACTTCCGAAAGTTTTCACCTTTCTCCTGCAAACGACTTCCCTGAACATCCACCTCTCTTCTCCTACCTGCTACCCAAAGCTTTTACACCTTTCTTCTGTCAATCTTTACCTGAGGGGAAGATCTACCTTTCTTTTGTGCCAGCAGTGTAAGTGCAAGGCAAAGTTAGAGTTGAGTCTAGTTGTTCTTGCAAATTGTAATTCCATACAACAGATCTCTTATCTTACCTCCAGAGTTTTTGGATTTGTTTTCTCGAAAAAGAGAAATAAATTTAAATAGTGAAGTTTATAATTCTTATTCATTCGACAGTGGACACCATCCCATCTGGACAGCTGCCTTCATGCACAGATGATAGCCGTGGTTCACAGCCACAAATCATAAATCATACAGTTGTGTCTGTTTCATCAAAATTTCTGATTATTTATAATTTGAATTTGAAGCCTATTCTCAGTAGCATGTTTTGTTATTAGACAGAATCTTTTAGTTTAGAAAGGACCGGCTGGAGTTCAGTTGTACAGATTGACCACGCACCGTTTTTTTTTTTTTTTTTTTTTTTTGTGTGTGTGTGTGTGTG